AGTCAGCTTCTGCATATGGAATATGGACAGAGCACCTGCTTGTCCTTTTCTTCACATCACAAAATGTCTCCAACCAAGGCAAAGTCCGCTACGGGTGAAGAAAGTCAAAAAACAGCCATCTGCCTTGTTGTGAAGATTGGGACATAATTTCACATATCTCTTAAGAAAACAAACCAACCAACATTGCCACTTTTTTTTCGGAAGGAGTAGGGTACATTTTGGCTCAAATCCTACATGCGTTATTGAATTTAACAGAGATAGCCAGTGAGTACAAATGTGTTGCATCATACTGCAAGTTCCACGGAGCCACATTGCCCTGTCTATTAACCACATTTAGGAGCAAATTCAACATGACACTAATTGCACGAAGGCAATTAATGTGCACTTTCAAATAATGTAAAGTGCAACTGAGTGAGAGGACATAGCCAGGCTTTGGGGAAGGAGAATGCAACCCGTTACTTTCATGTTGCAATCCCGATCTGCCTACTGCTAAGAAGAAATGCCAACAAATGTTGACATTTTGGTGCAAATACCAGCTGGAGGGGTGATTTTTTTAGTTGAAGCCAAGGCAGGATGGAAAGGGTTAACTTTCCCTTTTCCAGCATCTTGGTTCTCAATTTCCTCCGCATTTTATTCCTTACTGTGCTTGACCTTACAAACTTCCTCCCTCCCTCCTGTACATATTTATGGAATGTGTGCAATTAACTTAGGGTGCATCTATTCTACACTGTAGAGTTAATGCAGTTTGACACCACTTTAACTGTCAGGCCTCAAGGCTGTGGATTCATGGGAGTTGTATCTATTTTAACCTTTGTAAACTGCCTTGTGTGCTAGACTCAAGGGGATTAAAAGGTTGCAAATAAATGAATAAATAAATAATGACAATGACGGTTATTTGTCTATTAAATCTATTCAGCAGATGTTCCATCCACACGCATTATAATCCTGTCTCCAACTCCACTCTCATCTGGGGTCATAGTTTACAGAGTGCTACATCCTGTTGGTTGGTTGCCTACAAGTTCAGTGGGGCCATGATGTCAAGTGAGTTAAACCACTAAGCTGCAGAACTTGCTGATCAGAAGGTCAGCGGTTTGAATCTGCAGACAATGTGAGTGTTGCAACTCTGAGTAAGCTTCACCTTGCTGCGTAAAATTCCAAAGATTAAGGTTAAAAGCAGAATATAGATCCAAAGATCTTCAGGTAAAAACAGGAGACATAATCCTATTGGCAAAGTTCAAACCAGAGTCCCAGGTACAAGCAATGAAACAATTGCCCCATGAATCACCATGCAAGAAATCCCAAGCATACTGCTTTCCAGGCTAAGATTATTCCATGAAGCTTTCAGGCTAGTAAGCTACATTGAACTGACGCTTTCACAGAGTTTCCAAGAGGCCTTTCTCACATCAAAACATTCGGCTCTCAGCATCATAAAAGCATTGCGACGACCTTTCACCAAGCTGGCTTTGCGTCTGCTTGCCAGACGCAAACTCCGCCTGACCCGGAGATCAAGGCGAGCTTCCCGGGTCAAGTCACTATCTACACTTTCGGTATCAGCGTGGGAAGGCACCTGCTCGCTATCTCCTTCGTTAAAATTCCTTTCTGGTGAAAGCGGCTGTGTTGACACTGCACTGTCTCTGCAAGCCTCAGAAGCAGGCTCAGATATTTGAGGCACAGACAAAGAGCCAGGAAGCTGAAACCCAGGAGGAATCTGAATCCCATCATCTGCATGGTCATAAAACAGCTCAGCCACAACAGTGAGCTCCTGTTGTTAGCTCCAGCTTCAGCCAACCTAGCAGTTCAAAAACATGCAAATGTGAGTAGATCAATAGGCACCACTTTGGCAGGAAGGTAGCGGCGCCCCATGCTAGTCACATGACCTTGGAGGCATCTATGGACAAAGCCAGCTCTTTGCTTAAATGGAGATGAGCCCCACTCACCAGAGTTGGACATGACTGGACTTAATGTCAAAGGGAAACTTTTACCTTTACCTTTACAAGTCTATTGGTACAATTGTTAAAAGTCAGCATTTTTTAGAATAATAATAATAGTAATAATAATAATAATCTTCATAAATATGGGATAAATATTTTTTATGTAATGTTTGTTTGTGAGATTAACATAACTCCAAAACCGCTGGATGAATTGACACAAAAACAGAATACGTCTAACAATCCAATGAGTGACCATCACAAAAAAAAATAAATCAGGGACTTTAAAACCCAAAAATGATGAAACAGGTACAGCGCATGTGCAAAAACGACTCCTCTGGTGGGAAGGCACCCCACAGCAGTGGGAGAAAGAAGAAGGGGCTGGCCCACCTCGGAAAAACGCCTCCCGCTCACCCCGTTCTGGGCCCAGCAAGGCTGAGGGTTGCAAGACTCCCTTCCCAGAAGCGCTCAGGCAAGAGGTAGAGAAGGAGATTAAAAAAGGGAAGAAAAGAGGAAGGAAAAAAGAGAGGAAGGGAAGGATGGAAGCAAAGAGGCAAAGAAGGAAGGAAAAGGTAGAGAAGGAAGAAGGAGAGAAGGAAAGGAAGAAAAGGAAGGAAAGGAAGAGGAAAGGAAGGAGAGAGAAAAAAGAAATGAGAGAAAGAGGGAGGGAAGGTTAGCTATAGCAATGCATGGCAGGTACAGCTAATAATAATAATAATAATAATAATAATAATAATAATAATAATAATATACAGTATTAACATGTCGTTAAAAAAGAACTTACAAAAATCCGCACTGCCAACTGCAGGGAAGATTAGATGAAGTGGAAACATGCCAAGGTGTCTACTAGGACTGGGAATGATAATAGTCACCTGAAATTAAAAGTGACAAGAGTGCTGTTAGGATACTTCCTTAGGCTGTGACTAGAAAATTGTGTCCTAATGGGAAGACATTGACACCAGGACCAATGACACGAAGCAGTCGCCTGTATTAATTACAGAGTTATATATCTGGCACTTGTAAAGATGGGCAAGGAGGACTGATTTCAATGAGAACGTAGCAAAGAGTGCATCAACGCAGAGAGTGCATCAACTGTAGAATCAACGCAGTTTGAAACCACTTGAATTGCAATGGCTCAGTGCAATGGAATAATGTAGTGGTTTCCCAACTGTGGTCCGTGACCCACCAGTGGTCTGCAAGAACAAAAATGTGGTCCACGGCCTCACCATTACTACACTGTTGCCTCGATACCACGTGGCAATGAGAGCGACTGGTCTTGTGAAACCCTCTTATAGTGCTGAGGCAACAGGGATGTTGGGAGGGGAGCGGCTGACTACCCATGAAAGATTACTACTACCACATCAGCTCTAGATTATTAAATATGGTTTTCTCTGGGTGAGCAGATGGTGACTCCTGGTTGGCATATGTTCTGTATCAGAAACTAGAGCTGATGTGGTCTATCCAATGCAATTTTCTGATTCAGCAAGCAAATAACCAAACTGAATCTAAAGTTGACCAAAAACGGATTCGTAACCCTTTTGGTACTAATATTGGAGCGTGGTCCCTAGTCAAAGGGCCCATCCAGACAGGATTTTTATTGTGGGAAGGGGCTGTCCTGACGATGTTCTGGACAGTCCCAAATTAATTAACTACAAACCAAGAAAACCCTGGTTTGCAGCAAATTAATTTGATAGTGGATTTCTTCTGCACCTTCTTGGAAGGTGCAGGATAAATCCACTGTTTTGGGGTCTGGACTCCAGACAGTACTGCAGTCCAGACAGTATTCCACAGTTTATCAAAGTAAATAAGCCGGGTAAGCTGTGGAAATACCCACCCCATGCCCTCAGACCCCTTAGAAAAGTAATAAAAACTTATGTGTCCTCTATTAGAAGCCTCGGTCGGCTCTCCCGGTGCGTAGAAATGATGTGCCAAGAGAGTTAGGGGGAGGAAGGATATTCCCCCCCCCCTCTCCTGGCGCGTCGGGAGAGCCGGTCGAGGCTTCTAATGGAGGATACTTACATTTTTATTACTTTTCTAAGGGGTCTGGGGGCTTGGGGGAGGGGGATAAGGTCTCCATACATTATCTTGGGCTACTTCTGAGATAACATGTGGACACCCACCCCAGAAAGTGCACGCTTTCTGGGGTGGGTGTGGACAGGCCCCCAGAAACATCCATGTTTTTTAATGCAGATGTTTCTGGGATAAAGACCTGTCTGGATCCAGTCAAAGTGGTCACTGTTCAAGTAGTCCCTGGTCAAGTGGTCCCTGGTAAAAAAAAAAGGTTGAGACCAATCAGGCCCATAGCCAGGATTTTGATTCGGGGGGAACTGAGTTTGATTCGGGGGGGGCTGAGTCTGAGTGAAAGAGGGTCTATGTTAGCAAACCTTTTGTATCATTACCCCAATACCCCCATGCATATGGGATATATTGAGCATGGTGATCAGATCATGATATGAATAAATGTAACAGTTTAAATAATATACCAGTAAGGCCTTCTCGCGGACCACCATGAGAATTTGGGGGTCCCGGCTACATGCCTGGGACCAATGGAATAATGAGAATTATAGTTTAGTGTTATTAGCCTGGAATGTATAAAAAGAGGGGAAATCTGTGCTTTGAGCCAGAGGAGGCACAAGTGAGCATGCCTCTTTGTACTTGGAATGGTAGTGGATTTATGGCTTTGCAGATTTGATTAAAATGTTCTCTCCAGAAATCTCTAAGTCCTTCATTATGGTGAAATCATGCTGGAGGACCTAGAGAGGCAGAAAACCTCTCTAGGTCTAAAGGTGTACATGGAACAGAAATGAATTTGATGATTAGTTTTGAGTCCCAACTGCAAGGTATTTCATTATGTACTTATATTCAAAAACAGGCATTCCAAAATAGGATACAATATAATAAAATCCAAAATCCTTCTGATCCCAAGCATTTAGGATTAAGAGATACTCAACCTGTATAGACTGAATGAGAGGGGAAATCAGGCTGGCCTCTGCTTGCTAACAGTGCAATCCCTTCTAGATTTACAAAACCAGTCTGGGCTAATTATTAACATTCTTCAGGAATGGAGTGGCCAAAGGGCACTCAAAGAGAAGCACTCTCTTCTGCTTCAAGCTGCAATCCTGAAAGTGCCTGAGTGGAGAATCAGGGCCACAAAGTCAGGTGAGTCTCCTTGCAGCATGGAAAGCAATTTGACAGCTTGGTGGCAGGGTGAGAGGAAAGGTTACAAAGGGTGTCTTAAAGACAACACGGTATGAATCTACAGTGTAGAATGAATGCAGTTTGACACCACTTTAACTGCCATGGCTCGATGTTATAAAATCCTGGGATTTATATTTTGGTGAGGAACCGGCACTCTTTTGTAGAGAAGGTTACAGACCTTGTAAAACTCCCAGGATTCCATATCATTGAGCTATGGCAGTTAATATGGCGTCAAACTGTATTAATTCTATGGTGTAAACACAACTTAGAACCATGGAGACCAGGATTAAAACCCTCTCTTATCCATGGGAACCCACTGGGTAACCTTGGGCAAGTCATATTCTTTCAGTCTCAGAGAGAGCGGGTGAGTTCCCTCTGTCAGCTCCCCCTCCCTATGCAGGGACATGAGAGAAGCATCCTACATGGATGGTAAAAACATCAAAACATCATCCAGGCATCCCCTGGGCAACATCTTTGCAGGCAGCCAATTCTCTCACACCAGAAGCGACTTGCAGTTTCTCAAGTCACTCCTGACACACACAAAAAAAAGTCTCAGAGGAAGGCAATGACAAACCTCCTCTGAACAAATCCCACCAAGAAATGACTTCAAGGAACACCAGAACAACAAAGAATAAAGGTTCAACATACAGTATTTCTTGAGGGCTGTTTCATGCACTCGGTAATGGCAACTCCAAATGATGATGTATTCTGTGAAATGGTGATGCCGCTATAGGTTTTATATCATCTCAAGTACATCACAAGCTTTACAATGGAAGCCATTCACGCCACCAGTTATGAGCCATCAACTGACTGAGTAATGAGAAATCCTACAACAGCGGACATGCATGGATAAACATAGATCTTAAATTCAAACAGCTTTCTCACTGTTGAACAATGGTTTATGGTACCTTCCAAAGTAAGCTGCCCTTTATGATAATTCCCAAGTAGAGTCCAAAAATGGAGACGGTTGCATTGAGCCTGTCAGTAATTCTGGCTATTTTCATATCCCCTGAGAATGGGTATTTTGTAAAGCCAATGAGTCTTTATTGCCCATTCAAGGCCAAACTGATATTGAGAAATTGATATCAAAATATGAAACGTATAAAAATATATCAAACAGAAATTCTGCAAAAGCCTAGCAAGCTGCACCTTTTGTTTTGCATTAACCTTTGAATGAATTACAAAAGTCAACAGTGACACTGAAATTCAACACCGCCTGAGCTCTGTGAGTGCAGCCCTTTTCCGAATGAAGCAGAGAGTGTTTGAGGACCGGGACATCTATAAGGATACCAAGGTGCTTGTTTATAAAGTTATCGTCCTCCAAACCCTGCTAAACGCTTGCGAGACGGGGATAGTCTACAGATGTCACATGCAACTCCTGGAACGATTCCATCAGCGCTGTTTCTGGAAAATCCTGCAAATCTCTTGGGAAGATAAGCAGACAAATGTCAGCGTGCTGGAAGAAGCAAAGACCACCAGCATTGAAGCGATGGTCCTCCGCCATCAACTCTGCTGGACCGGCCACGTTGTCCGAATGCCCGACCACCATCTCCCAAAGCAGTTGCTCTACTCTGAACTCAAGAACAGAAAACGGAATGTTAGTGAACAGGAAAAGAGATTTAAAGATGGGCTCAAAGCCAACCTTAAAAACTCTGGCATAGACACAGAGAACTGGGAAGCCCTGGCCCTTGAGTGCTCCAGCTGGAGGTCAGCTGTGACCAGCAGTGCTGTGGAGTTTGAAGAGGCACGAATGGAGGGCAAAAGAGAGAAACGTGCCAAGAGGAAGGACTACGAGGGATCGCCTAAGTAAGTAAATAAGTGTATGAATTATCTCTAGAATATTGCCTGGTCACACCCAGATCCTCCTCTTAATTCCCTCACAATGAACTAAGGAATGTGCAGGGAAATGCTCAATGAATATCCAGTATCAAAGCTCCCTAGGTCCATTCTGTGCCCGTTGGTAAGATCCGTGCTATCTCTGGCACTCACACTTCAAGCCAGCTCCATCTATTGAGATGATCACCATTCCCATTGTGTACACTGGACTAACCTTATTGTGCCAACCAGAGCTAACCCATTGAGCTCAGCAAGGATTCTTTTACATATTGCCACACCGCATTCCTTCTGATCACACCTCTTTCAGAGGTGGACCATTAAATGGACTGACACTTCCAATCCTTCAATGACAGTTTATTGAATTTCCTTCTCCACAGCCCTCAGCCACTCAGAGGACGGATCTTAGCCAAAAAGTTTTTCAGCCAATCAAGAACTTGGGCAGATTTCTTGAAAAGCTGTCAAATGAACTTGGAATGTTCTGAATTCACAACTGCAGTATGTCAGTATTTTGGAGTGCTTTTTCTGCTGACATCCTCTTTGGCCATTGAGAATAAACCTCTGGGTTTGCCTTCTATCCCGTCTGTGTCTGATTTGACCTTCTGGAAAGCGAGACACGCCAGGCTTCTGAACCCACGGTTTTGCCGTAGCCGAAATCACTTAACAAAATTATCTTAAAATATGTTGCATGACACTAGAGCTAATGCACAAAAATACATTGTTGCTGAGGAAATAAGCTCTTCTTGCTTTTTTGTGGAGTACAATTAAGTTCAGACAGGTGAAAAAAATACCTTTATTCACCTTGTGACAGTTGATGTACTTATCTCTGTTAATTGAAAAAGTCAATGCTTCAGCTCTATTACAAGTGTAATGCAATAACTCGCTATGCATGTGCTTGCTTTTAAAATATACTGCAACTGATTTTGGTATTTGCATGTCACACATTCTTACAATGGTTGTTTCTCCTATTGTAACTGAAGGTCAAGCACTGGCTCTTTTGCCCAAGAGAGGGTTTGGCCATTAAAAAACATACACTAATACCAGTCACTTAATTCCAGAGCTGTGATTCCAGAGGTGGGCAATTGTAGAAAGCTAAGGGGCTGCATTAACCTCCCAGAAGATTTTGGAGGTTCATACATCTCTAGCGCACACACTCCTCCCTGCCAGAGATTGCCTCAAACCTTCCCAAGGGGGTAGAGGGGTATTTATCAGCAGAAGCCAGTTCAATTATATTTCAAACAAGGGCATCTTCTGGGTCTAAATTGCTGCAAGGAATTGTAAAATGTGCAAAAATGGGCCCACTTTCCCAGCTGCAATCTTTGACATGTTTTTGGGAAGATATTGGCAGTTTTATAAATCCCAGAAGCCCATGGTACTCTAAATATACACACCCCATAAATTGCCTTTGGGGTCATTCTTAAGATAGAGGTAAATGTTTTCCCCTGACGTTAAGTCCAGTCGTGTCCAACTCTGGGGATTGGTACTCATCATTTCTAAGCTGAAGAGACGGAGTTGTCCATAGACACCTCCAAGGTCATGTGGCCACCATGACTGCATGGAGCACTGTTACCTTCCCACCGGAGCGGTACCTATTGATCTACTCACATTTGCATGTTTTCGAACTGTGAGGTTGGTAGAAGCTGGAGCTAACAGTGGGAACTCATGCCGCTCCCCAGATTTGAACCTGCAATTTTTCAGTCGGCAAGTTCAGCACCTCAGGGGGCTCTAGGGTCATTCTGGGGACAAAAAAAAAGAATGTTAGCAGACTCTCGAGGATGCAAATCAGTTCAGGGGTCACACTTTACTCATTGCTCTCAAAAGAAACATAATTTAATTGCTCTCCTTAAATTCCTGGTTTCTTTTTTCTGTGCTCATACTATAATAGCCAGAATGTCAGAGAGCCAAAGGAAAAGGCGTGTTGGAATAGTGGGCTACGGACATCTAGGTAAGTGCCATTTTTTATCTGTTCCCCCCCCCCCCCCATTTATCATACTTCAAAGATGAGTCTCATCCATCTTATACCGATTTTGATTTTCTAAGTAGATTTGGCTTGTGCTTCTTTTGTTGTTGTCTGTGACTGAATATCCAATGTTTAGTTTTAACTATATTCATTGAATCCATGGGATTTACCAGTGTGCCAACCCTCCATTCAAGAAGTGATTGAAATTAATCTAATCTAGTTGGGACTATCCACCAGAGTGCCCGATTGTGTGTGTTTACCCTGGATGAAATGATCAGATGTTCTGTAGCAACAACCGACTTTTGTTCTGGCTAGCAAGACTAACCCAGTTATATATGGGCCAAAAGTCCCTTAGGACTTGGATCACACTGGTAGTCTGTCACCTCCTAAGGTTTGTTTTTCCTATCAGTGTACTGTGGTTGTCTAAATATCAGAACTTTTCATTGATTTGTGCTGAAGGCTAGTAGAAGAGTCCTCTCTATTCTTGAATCTGCGTTCCTTGTATAGGAACATAAGGATTACCTTGCTGGCTGGCATACACGAAGCCCAGCATTCTGTTTCCAATGGTGGGCAGCCAGCTATTTCTTGATCCTCACAAAAAGGGGCATAAGATGCTTCCATCAGTGACTCCAAAAAGGATGCCACCCCGGAGGAGGAGGATAAACGCTGCCTGTTTAGCCAATTCTTCTTCTTGGCTGTGAGACATGAAGGTCTGGGGCTAGAGGCTGAGAAATCCTAGTAAATGTGCTTGGGCTTCATAGATGGTTTTTGTTCTTCCACGGGAAGGGTATGGCAGATGCAAGAGAAACAGAGCCAAAAGCTCTGGCTTTGTGATGCTCTTCTACTCTGCCTATTCTCTTCAGGACAGTACCTGGTGAAGCGGCTCCAAGATGACGGCTTTCAACATGGCTTGGAGCTGGCCTTTGTTTGGAATCGAGATGCCAGGAAGTTGGAGGGAAATGTGCCAGTGGAGCTGCGTTTGGAGAAGCTGGCAGACTTCTTGGCCTGGTGAGCTGGCAAGCCTAGCTAGAGATTGCTTTACTGGCATGACAGGGATAAGCAGAATGAACCAATCGCGAGCCTTCGGGCATACAAGTATGCTTTGGACATTTGCAAATAATTACTGTGTGCCAGTGATGGAGAACTGCCTTTAGCCTAAGGGCCAGATTTAATATCAAAGTTCTCAGAGGGCCATGTTCTAGAGCAGTGTTTCTCAACCTGGGGGTTGGGACCCCTGAGGGGGTTAAAAGGGGGTGTCAGAGGGGTCACCAAAGACCCTAAAAAACGCAGTATTTTCTGTTAGTCATGGGTGTTCTGTGTGGGAAGTTTGGCCCAATTCTATCGTTGCTGAAGTTCAGAATGCTCTTTGATTGTAGGTGAACTATAAATCCCAGCAACTACAATTCCCAAATGTCAAGGTCTATTTCCCCAAAATCCACCGGTGTTCACATTTGGGCATATTGAGTATTCGTGCCAAGTTGATCCAGATCCATCATTGTTTGAGTCCACAGTGCTCTCTGAATGTAGGTGAACTATAACTCCCAAACTCAAGTTCAATGCCCACCATCCTTCCAGTATTTTCAGTTGCTTGTGGGAGTTCTGTGTGCCAAGTTTGGTTCAATTCCATCATTGGTGAAGTTCAGAATGCTCTTTGATGGGAGGTGAACTATAAATCCCAGCAACTACAACTCCCAGATGACAAAATCAATCTCCCCTCAACTGCATCAGTATTCAGATTTGGGCATATGGGATATTTGTGCCAGATTTGGTCCAGTGAATGAAAATACATCCTGCATATCAGATATTTGCATGACGATTCCTAACAGTAGCGAAATGGCAGTTATGAAGTAGCAAGAAAAATAATTTTCTGGTTGGGCGTCACCACAACATGAAGAACTGTGTTAAGGGGTCGCAGCATTAGGAAGGTTGAGAAACAATATTGTAGAGCTTGGTGGGGCCAAAGGCCAAAAAGCAAGACCAGCATGTTTTATCTCTCCCTGCCAGTAACTCCTACATATAAGCCCTTTGGTAAGGTATTGCAACCTATAGAATGGTGGACCAGCCAAGAAACTATCAAATGGTTGATGTCACAGGAAAGGTGTATGGCCACATCCTTGGAAACCTCCATGTGAAGGATTTGTCATGAGGGTCCCCATTCAGTTGTACAAAGCAAAGCTCATTTCTTGGGGGTGGCAGTCCATAGGGAGGGGAACCAATAGAGGAAGCCACATAACTATGATGATTTTAAGCTGTCAGTGCTGGAAATCATTGGCCAGTCCTGAGGTTTCCATTGATATCACTGTGGGTGAAGTAGAATAAATAACAGCTTGGATTATAATGCAACAAGAGTTTCAACATTATCTCCTATAGACTGCATAGAGACAAACTTCATTATGTATCTTAGGCTGGATATATTATTAATCCAATTTGACACCACTTTAACTGCCATAGCTCCATGCTTTCGAATCGTGAGAGTTGTGGTTTCTGCCAAAGAGGCACCAGCCCTCTTTGGCAGAAAAGGCTGTAAAACTTGTAAAACTATAACTCCCACATTTCCATAGCATTGAGGCATGGCAGTTAAAGTGCTGTCAGAGCGCATTACTGGTAATGCTACAGTGTAAATACACCCTTAATGTCTATGAATGGCCGTGATGGCTGAAAGATTCCAGGAGTTAGTCCAATGAATAATCTTTCTAATCTCTATTTGTCATGTAGGAAAGGCTTTCATCTGATGAAGCAGAACTTTTAGGGGAAATGTATTTGGTAATACATTTGTTAGTCTTGCAAGTGCCAAAAGACTGTTGTTTCTGGCAGTAACTGATAATTCAGTATTATTGCCAGAGCTTGGAAGGAAGAAGTTAGGAACAATACATTACTTGCAGTTAATTTCCTTTTTGATAAACTGAGGCAGAACTAAGAACTTCATCATATGAGCGGAAAGAAAGTGGGGGAAAGCCAAGGACAGCAAGGGACATCTGTTGGAAATAGCAACCTTCTCAAGACTCCACTAGTTGTTTGTTATGTATATAATTACTTACTGTATTGTATATGTGTGTATTGGTTTGCAGTTTTCTTTAACCTCATTGTTGTGGAAGGGGCTGCAGACCATGTGATCAGAACTGGGCTTGTTCAGGACTCAGACTCCATTTAGAAACAGTTTGCTTTGAGAATCCTGTAGAGAAGATTGCTTTCAGACACCAGCAGGAACTGTATGCTTAGAGACTAGACAGAGACTCTGTTACACTCTCAAAACAGAAATCTGCTTTGGAAGATGTCCTGTGTTCCCTACACAGAGAAACTACTTCAAATCTACTTGTAACTGGATTGATAAGCAAAGTACCTGTATGCTGAATACATGAAGTAAACCAACTATATTACTTTTAAAGAAGTCTGTTTATTTTTGTCCCCTGAGAGCATGATTTAAAAGCAAATATATTTTAAGGGAGAGTAGGTTTTTGATTTTGTTTTGTTTTTTCGGCAACTAAATGAAACACTTCTGAATCTCTGCTGAATAGGAACTCCCTCCCACCTCTGTGACAGCTAGGGAAGTCTCTGTGCAGCCTCCTCTCAAGCCCAATCTGGTTTATTGGGCCCAGTTTAAGAGTGAGTATAGATTTTCCAAAGGACTCTAAGAGAATTCCATTAGGTGAGCTTGGGCAAGTCACACTCTTACATTCTTAAAGAAAAACAAACAAATCTCTGCTATAAACAGCAGGATGGAACTAGTGCTCACTCTGTTACGCTCCTATGGGAATCCTCTTCTGGGCCGATTCCATGTCTTTTTCATTGAAGTCTACATCTTTCCTTTGCTTTCTGCCATTTGGAATCAGGTAATATGAGCTCTACGTTGCCAAATCAGAGCACCATGGAATCCCACCAGAAGTTGCTTTGCATTATGCAATGGACTCTATGGGACTCCGTTTCAGCAGCGTAGAGAAACAGGGAGAAGATGAAAAGAAGACTGATGAGGTCATAAGTCACATTCCAGTTGTAACATAATAAGGCATAGCATCACACCTTTTGATGTAACATACTCTTTTGATATGTAAATTTACTCTGTTTTAGATATATATATATATATATATATATATATATATATATATATATATATACAGAGAGAGAGAGAGAGAGAGAGAGAGAGAGAAAGAGTTATAAGGATTGTAAGGGAATGGCTTCATTTGTCGCAGTCTGGTGGTATTTAAAAAAACTAATTAATTATGAAGAATGAGGAAAGTCAATAATAAACCGTATTTTAAAAATTTGACTATAAAACTAACTGCTTTTTAGACCTCTAAACTACTGCTGACTACTTTGAAAAGCAATTTTCCTAGCTCCAGCCTTTCTTCTTCCTCTCTCTTCTATTTCAAAAGCCGTCCTGACATCATTGTTGAAGTGGCACACCCTTGCATTGCTCGAGAATATGGGGTATCCTTTCTCAGAACTGCAGATTTCATGGTAAGGAGTCCATATTAATCTAGAAAGAGCCAGATGTTATCACACATTCTTCCTCCCAACATTTTTCCAAGGTGAGCACGCAAATTACCTTTGTTTGCTTGCTTCACTGAAAATAATATTTCTTGTCTATTGCAGCAAAAAGAACCCAGAATCAACCACCTTCATGCCCCAACTAACCAACTTCCTTAATTTAAAGTTTAATAGAGTGTTTACAGACCTGTCAGAAGACATTTGTGCTGCCTGAAGATAGATGTCTTCCCCATGCCAAGGCGCAAAGTTTATATTTTGGCATATAAAGTAGAAAACCTCACTGGCACCTCTTCCTCGTTCCATCCTTACCAGTAGAACCATAAGGTTAAACCCAGCAGTGCAATACAACTCTCAGATACATGTGGGATACATAGTGGAAATGGAAAATCGTGGATAATAGTGAACCCTATTGAAATGAACAACTTCCTGCAGATGTATGGACCGGGCTGAGGCGCAGCTAGTTAATAGCCAAATGCTTTAAATCACTACTGCCCGAGAGGTCACGTTGTTGACCTATGCAGCCCGATGGTTGTATCTGTCAAGTAGGAAATGTAGGTACCACTTTATGTGGGGAGGCTAATTTAACTAATGTATGATTCCATAAAACCTTCCAGCAGCATGCAGAAGAATGAGGAAGTATTCCATCAAAGAGCTCGGTGTCACAAGTGGTGGATGAAGAGGCAGCTCCCCCTGTAGCCGGAATCGAGCATATCCTCATGAATACGGAAAGCTGGAATGTTAAATTTCCTTTGTGTGTGTCTATAGATGTTGTATGTCTAATGGCATTGAATGTTTGCCATGTAAATGTGCATTGAAGTCTGCCCTGAGTCCCCTGCAAGGTGAGAAGGGTGGAATATAAATGCTGTAAATAAATAAATAATAAATAGAATTGCATTAAGGGTCCTAGAGAATGGGTAGAGTACACAACTCCCTAGTATTTTTAGATTTTCCAATGTGACGTTATGGCCAAGCTCTGGCAGAAGAATATCATAGAGATGTGTTGGATGACCTAGAAAATGCCTAGGGAGAAATCAGGGGTACTGATCCCATAGACATGGGTTGTATTGTAATTCTTATCTAAAATAGAGCCATTGAAATTAGGCACAAGTAATTCAAATTCCACCCTTTCCCAATGAGTCTATTTTACAGAGGAGCAATATGAGGTGTAATCCATAATAACAATAATTAATTGTTTTCTCCCCTGTCATGACTTTACAAGTGTGATACCTAATAGTAGGGCTGACTGTGGTTATTTAGCATGAAATAAATCAAGAGGAACAGTCTAATCCCACCCTGAGGCAGCTGTGTCCCAATAGGTTTTCAGCATTAATCACTGTAGCATTTCTATGTCTGCCAGGTGGGTTCACCAACAGCCTTAGCCGATTCAGGCACTGAGCTCAAACTGCGTGAAGCTGCAAGAAAGGCAGGACACACACTCTATATTCCCAGCGGGGCTCTCTGGGGTGGCCAAGACATCCAGCGACTGGACGATGGAGGGATGCTTCAGGTATGATCCTGCAAAGGGATAGGACGTGCAGAGTGTGGGCTGATAAAGGGAAGGGTGAAGAAGAAGGCATGTCAAATAGCTTGCTTCTTAGTCTTTTTTCCTCCATCATAGAACTCATTTTTGCTGATTTTATTGATACAAGAATTCTACCTTGGAATATCTTGAAACTCTAGACCGAAAGGACAGTGGTTCGAATCCTGGGAGCGGGGTGAGCTCCCATCTGTCAGCTCCAACTTCCTATGTGAGGACATGAGAGAAGCCTCCCACAGAATTGTAAAACATCCGGGCATCCCCTGGGCAACGTCCTTTCATACGGCCAATTGTCTCACACCAGAAGCGACATGCAGTTTCTCAAGTTGCTCCTGACACATAAAATAACCAAAAAACCCATAGAGTTGCACTGGAAGACTGAAGAAATTATTTAAGCACTTGTAGCTCTTCCAGAGTGATTCTATATTCAGCTTCCAGTGCTGGAGGACCTACAGATTCCCAGAGAGTTATTGTCATAGGTTAAAAATAATAATAATGTGTTTTCATATGTGGTTTTTCCACTTCTGTGGGGATCCTGCACTCCTACCCTTAGCAAATATGGAGACCTGACTATATTGTTCTCAGTGGCCATGCAGGCTACAGAGCCACGAGAGCTGGAATTCAATAAAGTAATTTACCCAAGCTCTGTACTGCTTGAATCACAGTGTCAATATTCTACTTTAACTTAACATAAGTGTTTGCTCCAGCAGTGCTACAATTTTAAATAGCTGGCAACCAAGGTGAATTTGAGGACGGATTGTTCTTCCTGACTCTTTGTTCTTCGCCTTCCTAGGCATTAACAGTCACCATGGTGAAACACCCTGACAGTTTTCGGCTTGGCGGGCACCTTGGGGAGCTGCTGCAAGGGGCCCGAAAGGAGCGGGTGGTGCTGTATAATGGCCCTGTGCGCCAACTGTGTCCACTGGCCCCCAACAATGTCAACACCATGGCAGCAGCTTGTATGGCTGCCTCCAGCCTGGGTTTTGATGGTGTGAAAGGCTGCCTCGTAGCTGACGCCAAGTGAGTCCCTCACCTCCTCTGATGATGCTGGGATAGTGGTGGTTTGTTTTATCTGTCATTAAATTATTGCATCTAATGAACTCCAATTTCCCTTTGCAGCCTCCCTGACTACCATGTGGTGGAGGTTGAAGCAACTGGGCCAGGAGGCTTCTCAGTCAACACCAGGCGCAAGAATCCAGCTGCTTCTGGGGCTGTCACCGGAGCTGCCACTTTTGCTGCTTTCTGGAGCAGCCTGTTGGGTAAGAGGATAAATACCTTCCCATATCTAGTATCTTCTAAGTTGGCATTGCTAAAAGTGCAACAACTTACTCTAATGATGACTTTGCTCCTAACTCTGGCCATTTCTATGAAGGTGCTTCACCATCAGACAGGACAAGCATCCTTTGTTGTCCTTCCTGATGATGAAGCATCTTTTGTAGAAACTACTGTCACTGTACCCGCCACATGTTGCTGTGGCCAACTTTCCCTCCCTCTTTCTCTCCTCCTTTCTTTCTTTCTCTCCTTCCTTACCTTTTTTTTCTTTTTTTCTTTTCTTCTTTCCTTCTCTTCCTCTTTCCCCCCCCCCCGCTCTTTTCTTTCCCTTTCTCCCCTTTCTTCCTTCTCTACCTATTCTTGGACGATAACTCCCAGCAGTCCTCCTGATCAATCTATCTACCTACTACCTATCTCTATCTAATCTATCTTATGAGGATTGCTGGGAGTTGCAGTCCAGGAATAGGAAATTGGAAATATGCAGGATTGGGATGCTCTCAAAGAAATCCAAGGAGAAGAAATCTTGCCTCTTGGAAGCAGTGCATTTGGATCATCCTCCTCTCCTAAAGGGCCTGGTCTAGGGGATGCTGGGAGCTGTAGTCCAGAAGAGAGTGTGAATATGCTATTGTGTGTTTTGTTTGCCAGGGGGAGTCGTTTTGCCCATGCGCTGTAGCGTCTTTTTGCTTTTTTGGCTTTTTAAGTCCCTTCTGCTGTGTTTTTCAGTGTTTTTATGAGTGATGGTCACTTGTTGGTGGTCTGATAGGTGTCTTGTGTCCAAATTTGGTGTCGATTTGTCCAGTGGTTTTTGAGTTATGTTAATCCCACAAACGAACATTACATTTTTATTTATATAGACTAGCCATCCCCTGCCACGCGTTGTTGTGGCCGAGTTTACTGGAAAATAAAGTAATGAGAAAGTGTTGGTTTCTAATATATGTAATTTCTTTATGCTGTGGGTAAACAATATTTCTTGCTGTTTCTTTGTCAGTGTTGATGTGGAGATTGTCTGGTTTGCCTACTCTGGAACATGCAACATATAATTGTCCTTCTTTAGGGGTCCCTTTCAAATCTATGATACCATATATGTGTGTGTGTGTGAATCATATATATCTATCTATATCTATGGCTGGATGGCTCTTTGTCAGGAGGGCTTTGATTATATTTTCTTGTTCTGGTGAAGGGAGTTGGACTCAATGGTCTTAAGTATTTTCTGTTGGTCAAGGGGGTTTTGTGTGGGAAGTTTCCCAATTCTATTGTTGGTGGGGTTCAGAATGCTCTTTGATTGTAGGTGAACTATGAATACGAGCAACTACAACTCCCAAATGTCAAGGTCTATTTTCTCCAAACTACACCAGTGTTCACATTTGGGCGTATCGGATATTTGTGCCAAGTTTGGTCCAGATCCATCATTGTTTGAGTCCACAGTGCTCTCTGGATGTAGGTGAACCACAACTCCCAAACTCAAGGTCAATGCCCATCAAACAGTACTGCAACTCCCAAATGAAAAAAACATCCCCACCCCATATCAATGGGCGCACCATCGACGCCCCCTAAAAAACACCAACCCACTTTCTATTGTTTTTCTGTTGGTGTTCATGGGTCCGCTGTTGCCTACTTTGTTGCATTCCATCTATTGTGGAGTTGCAGAATGCTCTTTTTGTGCTTTTTGGTTTAACTCCTCATGCTGTGTTTTTATTACGAGTGATGGTCACTCATTGGCCTGATAGGTGCATTGTGTCCAAATTTGGTGTCAATTCGTCCAGTGGTTTTTGAGTTATGTTAATCCCAAAAACAAACATTACATTTTTATTTATATAGATATAGCTCTCCAGGAGGATGGAGGTGAGGAATCTTGTCCCTTGAGGATGTCCTGGCCCACTTCATTTCTTAAGGAGTCAATCTCTAGCTAGTCCATAGGTGGGAGAGGTTTGCCGCATCAGATATTGTTGGACTGCAATGCCCATCTGTAGATGAAGGATCATGCTATCAGCAATCCAATGACATCTTCAGGGCCACACATCCATCAACCTTGCTCTGGCCTTTAGGTTGCTGAAGCATATGAGGAAAATGTATTTAGAAGAGAAGGATGGGGTCCACTGAACCCTGATGCATCTGGGCAGCCGTTATGCTTATTTAGCTAGTGTACTTATTTGTTCATTTATCAGTTACATGTATAAATTGCCTTTCCTCTCATATGCTGAAGGAACATGAATATATATGACTCTCCTATTCTCCTTTATATACACAATAACCTCACAAACTAGGTGGGAAAGAAAGAGAATTTGCCCAACAAGTTTCATATCTAAGTACAGCCTTGAAGAGGAAATCTAAGTCTAATATTCTAACAATTACACAACACTGGTTGCCTAGTTTAAAATAGTTGTACATTTATAAAACTCACCTATGAAGGAGTTTGTGAGACACCAAAAAAGTGCAGACATAATGAACATCTCTACTGAAGTTGTACAAGATGGGCCAGCGGAGAAGGATCATGCCTCTTGGCCCAAAAGGAGCCTCTTAAGTAATATTTAGCTTAACTTCTGAAAGAGCTAACACATGCTAAAACTGCTCTCCGGGTCTTTCATAGTTTCAGCACATGAAGGCTTTTTCAGAAATAGCTAGCAGGACTTTTAACAGAAATATTGCCCTAGTTGACCTTGAGAAAAATCACACTCTTTCAGCCGCAGAGGAATGCAATGGCAAACCTATTCAGAACAAATCTTGCCAAGGAGACATTGTGGTAGGATCGCCTTAGTGTCGCTATAGGTTGGAAACAACTTGGAAGGTACACAAGGTACACAAAATCTTATGATTGTATGAATAATGTCATTATAGTTTAGTCACTAGGTGGCACTAGACCTAGATATAATGAGCCCTAAGGCAGTGTTTCTCAGCTTTCCTAATGCTGCACAACCCCTTAATACAGTTCCTCATGTTGTGATGACCCCAACCATAAAATTATTTTCAATGCTACTTCATAACTGTAATTTTGCTACTGTTATTAATCATAATGTACACATCTGACATGGAGGATATATTTTCATTCATTGGACCAAATTTGCCACAAATACCAAATATGCCCAAATTTGAATACTGGGGGGGGGGGGGGGGTGGGGGGGGTTGGTTTTTGGGGGGTATTGGTGGGGTTGGGGGAGATTGATTTTGTTATTTGGGAGTTGTGGTTGCTGGGATTTATAGTTAACCTACAATCAAAGAGCATTCTGAACTCCACCAATGATGGAATTGAACCAAACTTGGCACACAGAACTCCCATGACCAACAGAAAATACTGGAAGGGTTTGGTGGGCATTGACCTTGAGTTTTGGAGTTGTAGTTCACCTACATCCAGAGAGCATTGTGAACTCAAACAATGATGGATTTGGACCAAACTTGGCACAAATACTGAATATGCCCAAATGTGAACACTGGTGGTGTTTGAGGAAAATAGAACTTGACATTAGGGAGTTCAAATCAAAACATTTATTTCGGTCATTGACCAGCACAGGAAATAGTGTCACATTTCCATACAAACCTGGCATGTTTGGTACATTAAAAATATAAATACAACTACTAAAAACACAATATGGGTGAGGGAGCAGAGGGAGCAGAAGGGGAAACAGGGTAAAAACATAGAATGCCCAGATCCATCACCAAATTGTAGATTCAGGGAAGAAGATTACTGGACACACAGTTGACTTTTGGAACTAGTCATTCCCTGGCGGATTTTGTATGCTGCTGCACAGAACTTTGCGACATTGTAGGTTGTAGCTGAATTAATATCCGCAAGTAGCAGGGAGGTATAAAATTGTCCTGAATGGCCTGGGTGCTTGTCTATCAGAGGTAAGATAAGCCTGGCACGGATATCCCTATAGAACGGGCACTGAAGGAGCACATGTTCTATTGTTTCTACATGACCCGAGTCACAGGGGCAGAGTCTCTCTGGGAAAGGGATCTTCCGGTAGCGGCCCTCGAGTACAGCTGATGGGAGAGCGTGGCATCGGGCCAGGGTGAAAGCCCTCCGATGAATAGGAACCTCTAAGTATGTTAAATATGCCATAGGGGAGGCAAGGTATCTGCTGTCTTCACTGACAAGGAAGGTTGGAGCCGAGGCCAGATCTAGTTGGCACTCTGTGTCTGTGATACGTTGTTTAATAAGTGCTTTGGCTTGATTGTAATCCATAGCTAATAGTAGACCTGGAGAAAATCCCAATGAGGAGATTTTGGATGCTACCGCCTGCTTCCATGTGGATTAGAAGTCATCCCCCATGGTTAGGGAGTTGTAGTTGCTGGGATTTATAGTTCACCTACAATCAAGGAGCACTCTGGACCACACCAACGATAGAATTGGGCCAAACTTCCCACTCAGAACCCCCATGATTAACAGAAAATACTGTGTTCTCTGATGGTTTTTGGCGACACCTCTGACACTTCCTCACGACCCCGCCCCCCAGGGGTCCCAACTCCCAGGTTGAGAAATGCTTCCCTAAGGTTTAGTTCCAGGACCCTCTATGGATACCAAAATCCATAGATTCACAAGTCCCATTATATACACAGTAAAAGAGTATCCTATTTATAAAATACCATGATCAGAGCTTTTTGGCTTTAAAAAATATTTTAAAGATAGTTGAATTTGAGGATGCAAAAACCATGAATGTGGAACTATATATCAAAGTGGAACCAGAAATTACCTAGAGACAATATACTTTTTGCCTTGCTTCCTAATTAGTGCACCTTCACCTCTCCCATGGCAATGATCAATGCAAAACAAATATCTGACTGGAAAGTGCAAATGCTTAAGTGCTTTACCCACTTACCTGACTTTGATCAACCTACACTGCACTCAGTGAGACTTCTTTCCCAGTAGTCAGTCATATACAGTATAGGATTGCGCTGTTTAAATATAGCTTTGAAGGAGAGCACAGAAGTAATGCATCACAAGTAATAATGCATTACTTTCTGAGTGCCACAAGGGGATCACAATGTTCCTTTTTACAAACAAAGTGACTGCTAACATCATTACTCCTATCACGTAATGTACAATGCTATCTCATTATGTTTCTTCTTATTTTTGTAGGAGCTGGAAATGTTTTCTTGGGGCATTTTGTGTGTATCTCTCTTTTTCCACAAATTGTAGGTCATTTTCATACTTATTAAGATAGATTCTTCCTCCTTACCAAACAGAAGTAATAAGACAGTAGTAAATAATGCAATAAATAAAGCACAAATTCTCGCTGTAAACGAATGGTAATGCAGTAATAAATTACACAACAAATTGTTCTAAAGAGTTGTTTCTCTGCCCAGCAACCTGTTTCAGAAAATTTGGATGTCTTGAGTGAAATCTGCTGGGAGATGTGTCTTTTTCAGAAAAAAGGAAGCTGTTTTTTAGGGTCTTGACTGATTTATTTCTTTTTTCTACTCTGCAGTATGTCAAGGCCATGGAGGGCGAGTCTATCTCTGCTGAACCTGAATGTTCACAAGAAAACAAGCTGAAAATAACTGCTCCAGAGGTTCAAGCAAGGAAGGGAGTGGATGACAAGAAGAGCTGATTGTAGGTGGCATGTCTACAATCTCCCTTCCTTCTGTACCTTAGTGCATGTTTTAGTCCATCAATAATACACAGAATTATCTACAAATGCTGCAGCAAATCCCACCAATCTGTCCTTTCCTATCAGAAGTGTCTTTGAACAAAGGTAACAGGTCAGCTCCACCATTTGGTAGTGCAAAGACATTGCTGAAAACAAAACAATTATGGGGGCAGTACAGGTGGCCCTAAGACTTTTTCTTGGTTTTTCCCCATTGTTGGAAGACAAAGCTGTGTAATCCCCATAAACTGTCTTGGACTTTGTAAACCAGCCTGCTGCTGGATACAGTTCTATCACAAGCATTGAAGTATATTTAAATGCTAGTCCAGCAAAGGATGGGAAGGAAACACAATTTGGTCCTTTCTGTAAGGCAAATCTATCTGTCCATCCATCCATCCATCTATCGATCCATCTCCCTATCTATCTATCTATCTATCTATCTATCTATCTATCTATCTACCTACCTACCTACCTACCTACCTACCCATCTACGAGGGGCATTCATTAAAGATTTCCCCATATCCACTTCCTGTGGACTGAGGACACTGAAACTTGGCACAGTTATTAGTCCTTCTCTACCTAGGTTTTTTTTTTTGTCGTGTCAGGAGTGACCTGAGAAACTGCAAGTTGCTTCTGGTGTGAGAGAATTGGCCGTCTGCAAGGACGTTGCCCAGGGGACGCCTGGATGAATTGATGTTTTTATCATCCTTGTGGGAGGCTTCTCTCATGTCCCCGCATGAGGAGCTGGAGCTGATAGAGGGAGCTCATCCGCCTCTCCCCGGATTTGAACCTGTGACCTATCGGTCTTCTGTCCTGCCGGCACAAGGGTTTAACCCACTGCGCCACCGGGGGCTCCTAGGTGCCACCTAGGGACACACACTTCTCCATCTTTTAAGCAACTGTAAATACCTCACTTGTAGAAGTTGACAGATTGTTCCAAAAGCCACGCTGTGACTTTGGAAGTCAGTCTCATCATCTGAAAAATGCTTGCCTTTCAAAAATAACTTAATTGTTGGAAAGAGGCTGAAGTCTGATGGTGCAAGACCAGGTAAATAAAGGGGATATGGTAGAATTTCAAAGCCACAAGAGCATACTTCCATTTGGACAACAGGTGAGTTGTGAACTGGTGCATTGTCTTGCAGAACACTGACACCTTTGGTGAGCATAATACGTCTCTTGGTTTTGATGGCCTCCTGGAATTTCCACAGCAAGGAAGTATAGTACGCCCCACTGATCATGGTACCCTTTGCTAGGAAATCCATTAATACTACTCTGTGCTGGTCCCAAAATACTGTGACCATGACCTTAAATGGCCTGCCTAGATAGATTGGGGGGCATTTCCTTTCTTATGAAGAGTTCGGTGAGTCACTAATGCTTCTTGTCACTACGACCGGTAAGTAAGCTATTGAGTTCTGCAGTGAAAAAAAAAAAAAAAAAAAAAAAAGTTATCAGTGTCACAGGAATTGAACCAGCTTTCATCCTATGTGATCAGTCTCTTGAAAAAGTCCTCCTGGTTTCCATGGCACATCATCAATAGAGCCTGAGAGCATTTAATTCATTCCTGCTTCTGAAAAGATGTAAGCAGCCGGGGATCCAATGAGCAGATATCTTATGAATGTGAAGATGGTCTTGGGTTATTTTTTCCACGGACCCCACACTAACCATGACATTTTGGGCTAGGTAGAGAATGGCTATGTGACGATTTTCCACTTGCTGGATGGTGTGTTATTTAATAGCAGAGTGGGGTCACTCTGGAATTCAAGCGGTTTCCACCAAAGTCTGGCCACATTTGAATTGATGATGCCAGTTCTTGACTACATCATATGATGGGGAATCATCACCATAAACGTCTCCTTTTGTGTGTGGCCTTTCAAGTAAAAGAATTTGATGACCTCCTAACAAAGGATTCTCCCAGTCAGGAAGCAGCCAGCCTTTGAAGCTGCAAGGCTATTCAATGCTAATCAAGCTGGCCAATTGCAACATTCACACTTGCCTCCAACAGATAAGAGTTCTTTCTCCCACCCTGGACATTCCACAGATATATAAACCTCACTTGCCTAGTTTCCAACAGACTTCACAACCTTTGAGGATGCCTGCCATAGATCTGGGTGAAATGTCAGGAGAGAATGCTTCTGGAACATGGCCATACAGCCTGAAAACTCACAGTAACCCAGTTGGTTATCTCCTGAGAAATATGTTACAAATACAATTTTGAAATGTGTTTATTTGATGTAAAATAAGAAAAGATATATATTTAATGCACTGAATTGGGTCTTAGGAAGTCAGGGTTCATCCATTAAACTTAGTGCAAAACCTTTGCCACTCACTGACTCTCAACCCAATCAACCTTACAAAGCAATGATGAAAATTGTGGAGAAACAGAAAGGGGGCATGCTTTGTTAAGTACAAATATAAATAAGAGTTAACCAAGTCAAACATCATTTTCTCCAATGAATTAATTCCCTCAAGGCAATTTCAGGTGCATTTCAATTCAGTACTTTATGTAAATGTAGCTTATTTTGTCCAAATGAGTGTTGCTGGGTTTTCAAATCAGTAAAAAAGATAATAATCAAAATTCATGACGTGTAGTGCTGACAATCAAGAAACAGCTATATTGACAACTTGTAATCTATCAAAATACTAAATGACAGTATTGATTTTGGTTAACTTAGCTCTGTATTTCTCAATAAAAGAAGCATATGGTCCAGATTTATAAACGACACATTTTTTTTGTCTTTAGGAAGCGCCCACACTACAAAATATGTAATGTTTCATCAGTCTTTAGAAAAAGGAGATTGGATTTACTAAAAATGACCACTGAGTGATACAACGGCAATTCTTACACTTAGTCCCATTTCAAATGCTGACATGCCCATTTGACCCAAATGCCTTCCATACATCTCTGTCCACCTCCGCTGATTATCCCAAGCCTTCCCGAGTTCTCAGTCCTCTAGCCTTATAGTTTCCAATGTCTTTCCGCACAAGTAACCTGATGGCCGCAATTCTGTGAATGCTTATTTTAGAGCAAGTGCCACTGAGTTTATTAGACAGACATCTCAGGAGAGACTTCTTTATAATTCATGGGTGTTTTACAAGGACAGGGAATGACATTTCCAAGTGCCACTCTTGGCAATAGTTGCCCAGAGCATTGAAAAAATCATATCCTCCAGCCATTAAGGAGTGGACAGGACATATTGTCAATTTTAAAAATAGACAAAAAACAAAGAGACTAGGTAGAGAATTGGATCTGCTTCCCAGAGCCTTTACAGCCTAGCTATCCTGTCACAATCACTAAAGAACATGACTCTTTTCCTGTCTGTTGGATCCGTATTTGCAAAACTGAAATTTGGATACCTAAAACTTGGCATGCATACTAGACAAACATTAGGAATTTGCACCCGCTGTATTTGAGTTTTAATACATATTGATATAATGAGAAGACAGGAAAGCTCAGAGAAAATAATGATGCTGGGGAAAATGGAAGGAAAAAGAAAGAGGGGCCGACCAAGGGCAAGATGGATGGATGGCATCCTTGAAGTGACTGGCTTAACTCTGAAGGAACTGGGGGTGGTGATGGCTGATAGGGAGCTCTGGCGTGGGCTGATCCATGAGGTCACAAAGAGTCAGAAGCGACTGAATGAATAAACAACAACAACACATATTGATATCAATTAATTTAAATGGCTTCATGAGTTTGGAGCTGCCATACATCTTCATAATGTGGCGTCATTTGGCCGTTGTTTGAAGCCAGTCTAAGAACCCATTTGTTTGAAGTAGTCTAAGAACCCATTTACACTGCCATATAAAGCAGTTTGAAACTGCATTGCATGGTCAGTGTAGATGCATATAATGCAGTTTAAGGCAGTTAAACTGCATTATATGAGTGTACCCAGACCGTATAATGACGCCACATTATGAAGATGTACAGCAGCTTCAAACTCATGAAGCCATTTGAATTAATTGATATCAATATGTGTTGTTGTTTATTCATTTTAAAGTACATTATATGGCAATGTAAATCAGTCACCTGAGAGCTGACAAGGGCGGTATACAAATGCAGTAAATAAATAAATAAATGGGGCCAAAGAGACAAATCTACAGAAATCATAAAAATTTTGAGCAGATAAGGACAGACTACAATAAAAAAAGATAGCAGACATAGAGTCACAACTCTGAATACAATTGTTTAACAACTTGTGCATGCAGACATGAACTATAACAACCAATGCACAGAAATAGATGATACAAACAAAAATGGTAGAATAAGAGACCTATTCCACAAGACCTAAGAAATTGTAATTTAAACCAAGAGTGTGGATGCTATCTGCCAAATGGTGAGGTACAGGAACCAAACCTTTGATTTATTACCTATTGAACATGTCTGTTCAGAAGGTTATTTACTTGACAGTGTGTTTTGAGGCCGCAGTAGCACAGCAGATTAAACTGCTAGCTGCAGGAAACTTGCTGCTGACCACAGCGTTAGCAGTTTGAAGCCACAAGTCGGGGTGAGCTCCTGACTGTTAGCCCTAGCCTCTGACAACCTAGCAATTTGAAAGCATGGATTGTGAGTAGATCAATAGGTAGCACCTCAGTGGGAAGGTAAAAGGGTGCCCCATGCAGACATGACGGCAAAACATGATCTGAGATGTCTACGGACAACAGGCTCCCCGGCATGGAAAAATAGAACAACATCACCTCCCCATGGCCGGAGTTCAGCATTGCCTCCAGATGCCGGAGATGAAAGAGGAAGGCTTTTACCTTTATCTATGTATTGTATGTCATTGTTGGTCACTGTGTAAAAGGCATTGAATGTTATATCTGTATACTGTGATCCGCTCTGAGTCGCTCCGGGGAGATAAAGCAGAATATAAACAAAGTGCATTATTATTATTATTATTATTATTATTATTATTATTATTATTATCTGAGATTATTACATGAAGAAATCTCACAGTGGGAAGAGACCTCATGGGCCATCCAGTCCAACCCCCATGCCAAGAAGCAGGAATATTGCATTCAAATCACCCCTGACAGATGGCCATCCAGCCTCTG